AACATCCCCGGAATCGTGATCCTTGCGCCGTAACGGACCTGCACCCTCGTCAGGCGGTGCAGTCGTGTCGGCAACAAATCGTGGAGGGCTGGCACCTCTTCCGGCACCCGGTAGCCGCAGGACCTGAAATACCGGCTCAGCAGAGTCCTGTCCGGGTACAGGGACCTAGGTGTGTCCGACAGAGACCTCTCTACCGCCACCCCGGGGCCTCTCCTACACCCATTCGAACGCGTTCTGACGGTGGCTGGCATCCAGGCCCACAGTCTGGCTGGTGCGCTGGTGTCGGCAGAGCAAGAACACAGCGACCAACACTAATAAGAGAGAAGAAGGGTTTAAGATGGTATCAGCGTTTCGGCGGGATGACGACACCCAGGCACGAAGGGTAGAGAGACAGGGCGGCGCGGAGGGTAGTACGGTAGGCACCAGTCGGGCGGCAGAGCGAGTAGGGCGTAAGCAGAGGTGGAGAAGCCGGCGCCGTAGTAGGTGACCTTCGCTACAGCTCGGAGCGCAACGTACCGGCGTCTGACGCACCAGGGGACCAACATGCCGAGGAGGGATAACAACAACAGGACGTCAGGATCTCTCATTTCCGCTCGCTGCAAGACTCTCTCTGTCCACTATTCGCTTATTACTGTTTTTTTCAAAAACAAATTGGTCAGGTGTTGTGTCGTCGGAAGTTAGATAGGTCCAGTAGTTGTCGCCATTGTTGTGTCGTACTGGTCCGCTGCTGACGTGGTCCGTCGGAGGGTGAGTCCTCGGTTACTGACTCCCCCTGTATTTGACAAAAAGCTTCGGCGGGCGAGACATAACAACTGAAAGCCGTCGCTGCCCGCCGACACCACCACAAACTATCGTGGGCGCCTTTGCGGCGCGTCGCCCCACTCCCCGCCGTGTGCCTTTTGTCGACGGACAACCCTCGAACTCGTTGCCCCGTCACAGGCAGCACTAGAAGGTCCATAGTGAGTGGTTACGTTGAAGGACAGAGAAAATCAGGTCCTTGTACTGACTGGCTTCCAGCAAAGAGAAAAGGGTGGAAAAAAGAATGCGAAGTTGTCGAAGTGAACTAGTAACGTGTGGTTGGAACGTGGTTGTCGTTGGAGCAATATTAGAGACCGTATGACTCAAACCGGGTCTGTGGGCTCGGAGCTTGTTCTTCAAGGGCTTGGCTGAGAACCGCGTGGATGAGGATTTGGGACGCCGAAGGTTTGCGTGATGGAGCAGCCGTCACTCGCGGCTCGATGCAGGAGTACGAGCGACTGAGCCACCCTTGTTTTTCAACTGTTCTTGGATAGCTTGTTCCTGAGTTCTAGTCCCAGTCATCGCTCGGTTAAGAGAAGCGTACAACATGAGTAGGTTGCCTGAATCGTGTTTTGCCTACAAGCCCGAGCCTACAAGCCCGAGCCTACAAGGCCGAGCCTGCAAGGCCGAGCCTACAAGCCCGAGCCCGTCCCCAGTCCGTCTGATAGTGCTGCGCTTTCACTTCGTGCCTGTCCAAGGCCAGCGGATTTTGTTAACCCATTCACTCAAGGCGTCTTTCGGGGAGGGCAGAACAAATTTATGCGAACGACTTCCAACATGACCGACTTGGACAGTACTGACTCCGTCGAACCATTTGGCCCCACACATAGGCCATTCCTTCGTCTGTCATATCAAAAGCGGAAAGGGCCACTCATAGACGCCTCCAAATCACCGTGGGCACGCACTCAAAAAACTCCGCGTAACACAATTGACAACGCGTAGTTCTCAAAGTGGAAAGATTCAGTGTGGCTCGTACGCTGTTGCCTTGTTGGAAGGGTCGCCGCTGAATCGTAGTCCGGATGAGTGGGCTCGGGGTCTGTTCTTCTAGAAGATGGATGAGGGAGGACAAGTTGGCTGAAGAACATGGTTTGGCGGAAGGCGTGGACGTTCGGTGGTTTGTAAGTGAGATGTGCTCACCAGAAGGCCTGCAACTGCCGTGACCCGTGGGACGGTGGAGGCGTGTGAGCAGTGGCGCGAGTTCGGAAAGGTCAGCGAGTGGTTTACTTCCTCGTCCCGAGTGGCCGCTCGGTTGAAAGAAGCCAAAAAGGAGACTGTCTTGCCTGAATCTTGGTTTGCCTGCCGGCCTGAGTCGGATCCCTCTCGCTGCCCCCCCATTCCGAGGCCATGTTCACCGCTGGCCTCTCAAGAAGGATTCACCACTGTTCACCGGAGACGATTATAGTCCGGACCTGTTCACTGCTAGACTCAACTCGTACCAGCGGGCGGTCGAAATTTGGCTCTGTCAGGACCAGTACGGTCATGCGAGTCTCGATCACCGAGTAGACAGAATAACTTGCCCTAGGGAGTCTCTTACGGACTCGAACCTGGGACCTTCGGATCCTGAGAACCTTCACCTACCATGGGCCGCCGTGACAATCTTACCCGTAAGACCCTGTCTCGCCTAAGTATGGGAAGTAGCAGCGTATTCGAACTTGCAGGTCAGGAAGCTAACGTCCTACCATTCCGGCGTGAGGACGGTCTTGGGAGAAGACCTTGTCTCGCCGCAACTGTGGATAGTCTTCCCGTCGTCAATGTCGTTGACGAAACGCCCGAGCGCAGTGGTCGCCGGTTAAAAAAGGCCTTCAAGATGAATGAATGTTGGTTTGCCTGCCAGCCTGAGCTCGTTCCCGGTTCTTGGGCGCCATCTGCTTCACTGGATGCGTTTCGACTTACAGAGGTTCCAGTACTGGTTACCGGAGCGCGATACAGAGTCTGGTACAGAGTCTGGTGGTACAGTGCGTGGCTTGTCAAGCAGCCGGGCACGAGGGTTTTACACATTGGGCCTTTGGATTAATTTGAGTTTCTGCTTATTTTCCAGGCTCGGGCTCTTGGCATGCGCCTCACTTCCCAATGGGACGCAGCAACGACTTCCAGATCGGATAGATACTTCCAATACTTCGGCACAGGGCCAAAGAACTCTCGGTCCCTCCGTCGACCAGGACAGCAAGTGGTGCGCCAAAGTACCTGTACCAACATCTTTGCTCCCTCTTGTTACTCCCGCTGCTAGGAAACGTGTTCTATCAGGTGACGTACCCTCGCCAACGTGTGGCTGTCCTGGGACAACCACATCTAGTGAAACAAGCTCGTTAAAACAGCTTAGGGCACCTGGCTTGGACACAGCTATAGGCGCAGTAAACAACCGACGACACAGACAAAATGTCCAACCCCTATGCGCGCTCAATTAGCCCAGTCGAATCGAAATCGAAGATCCCGTGTCTGGTATCACCAGTATCAATTGGTCACCGTTCATGTCCTCACTCGTATACAGAACGCCATTCATATCGCAGTGCCTCTTGGCCAACGCCGCTTAAACAACGCAGTACCTTCTCGATCAGTTTATCTGTATTGTCGATATCTGGGTCCACCAAGGCCTCACGTAACAAGATATTACGCAAGGCCTTGGTGGACCCAGAGATCGACAATACAGATAAACTGATCGTCAGGGTGAACCAACTGATAGATCAAGGTTTGATTACGCACGATTTATCGGTTAACGTGCTACTAAGTTGTGTCGTGTATGGCAAAGAAGGAACTATGCGTCGGATCGAATCAGGGGCGATACTTAAACCCATCAACGTTTATAACCCAAGTTCGTGCAAACGCCCTGATGAGAGAAAACCGAGAACGCAGAACCCTAACGCTAACACGTATACCAACAGCTCGAAGACCCAGAACCGACGTGGCAGCTATAGGAAGCCAACGGAGACAACTAAGAATTGGACTCAAGGTACGTCCAAATAGGATAAAGACAGGCATCTAGTGAAGGTTGATGCTGAGCCGTTGTCTAGTTCAGGTTCTACAACGTCTACAAAAGACGATTATGACATGCCAGATACAATGACTGACGCAAACGATAAGACGTCAAGTGCATGCACTATTGAAGAAAGTCATTGCTCTCGACGTCATTGCTCTCATGTCCAAAAGTGGGACTACTCCCCTTCGTGACCCGGGGAGCTCTCGACGCGTCAATATGGGTAGCGGTCTTCTTCGCTGTCCTCTGCATATCAGCCATGCGCTTCTTCCCTTCGAACCTTTGTAGCCGCCTCCCAACACACATTACAAAGACCCTTCCGGTAGTGCTGATGATTAACTGATTGCCCTTCTCGTGCATCTCGATTCCCAGGCTACCTTACTTGGACCAAACACACGGACCCGACAGAGGACCTCCAGCTCCGGCGAGTCAGCTCGCAGTCGTGCGAGCCCGCTTGCTTGGCATCCTCCATAGCTCACAGGCACGATAAAAACGCCTCTACGACAGATCATATCTGGAAGGCATCCATCTTGTTGAAAATCCGGGACCCGCCTGTAAATGATGCCCAAACTTCAGCCTAGACGAACCATCCTCTGATTCAAGACGGCTAAGTGGCGTTGCTTGTCGGGTCTCCCGCTCGAGATTTGCCGGCTTGTGTTGCACTGTGCGTTAACCGCCAGGCGTTGCCACCCGGCAGTTTCGGGACCACCGTTTGACGCCTGTATCTGCGTCCGTCGCTGTGCCCCGTCCGGGAAAACACTCGACGTTGCCCGAGATCACGACGCCCCAAATGCGAACACTGTCAGACATCGTCCTAGTGTCCAGAACTTTGTTCGCACACCACGCGACCCCACCGAGGATCTGTGCGGTGACCGGACAAGAGCAGACCCCGGAGCATGTACGGAGACGCAATCTCGTTTTGAGTTTACAATGTCGGGCAAGCATGCATGCCCTTGAGGAATTGAACGCTACCGTTAATTCACCGTCCCCGCTACGAACAGGAGACATGGCGACCTTCCCGTTGGATGCCTTGGAGCATCGAGCGTACGCGCACCATTCCGGATTCGATACCATTTGTCTCCGGAATGCCGTGCCCCGAAGCCATATGGGAAATGTTGTATCGATATGATGTGAGCAGAAGAACGAAGAAACTGGCCACCTCGATCGGAGGAGCGATGGCTTTGGATTCAAAGCCAGTAGGTTTCGAGCAACAATAAGTTCAATTTGTGTGTGTACAAACATGGGGCATTTTTACACACACGAAAAGACAAAAACACGACCAGGAACACCCCATCCTCCCGAGGCTAGGCCCGTCTCTTCGCCCGGCTCAGAGACGCCACAATGGTCCGGCGTCTCCTTACCCGGACCGTTGTGGTTGAGAGTAATAATTTTTGTGTCATGAATCGTTTCGTATGTTTGTTCGTTGCTGTGAATGGGTTGATCCAGTCCAAGGAGTTGAAGAAGGTGAGCGTGGTGGACAAGACGGGAGCAGAGAGTGCGGACTGCAAGGCTGTGTGCAATTTGCCCGCGTTGGGCAAGGTGGACAAGCTCTCTGATTTGAACGCGAAGGGATTGACGTGTGTACAGAACTCTAAGTTCAAGGATGGCGCGTGTACGTTGAGCTTCGAGGTGGAAGTGGGTTCGCTGAGCGACAGCGACTCGTTGGTCTGCGACAACGCCGATCTTTTAAGCTTCTCCGAGACGACGTTAGACGACTGCGGTTTCAAGATCACAGCTTGGAAGTTCGCGGACGCCACAGTGAAGAATGGAGATCCCACCAAGAAAGTCGCCGCTAAGATAGCCAGCAAGCCATACGCCACCGTTAGCGATGCCCAGAGCCTCTGCAAAAGCACTGCGTGGAAAGACATCAAAGCGGACACCGATGTCCAGGTTAAGATCGAGAACGGGAGCGACGCCGATTCGTTCCACGCGACCATCCTAGGAACTCTTGATCCCGCCCTGCAGTGGTCCTACAACAACACGCAGACAGGTGTGCCGCAAATTACAGGACTGAAACAATACGGCGCGAACACACAGAGCACCATCACCATCTCCAGAACCTACCAATACGGTGACAAGGACGTCTGCAAAGGTAGCAGCGGGGTGGCTGCCGCCCTCGGCTTCTCCGCCGCCGCTGCGGTCTTCGCTGCAGCCGTCCTTTAAACCGGTCTCTACCGAACTCCTTCAGGTCTCTACCGAACTCCTTCAGGTCTCTTTTTCCATTTTTTAAAAGCTAATTCAACTCTTGATTTCGACTCTCCCATTCAGCGTTTAGCTGTGCCGCCACACCTCTGCCTCCCCCTCTTGGGTCCCGTCCTGGTCCCTACCAAATACCACCCTCCCAAATACCACCCTCTCCCATTCCCTCCCGCTCTTGGTGAATTAGCGGGGCATTTTTTCCTGGATGGGGCATGGAGGCGGACACAACAGGCGACGCTCGAACGGTGGCCCCGACACGGCTGAGGACGGCGCTCAGCTTCCTCGCGGGTCCGCTGCGTTCTGATGGGCTTATCGGCGCGCTCTTCTCGAGCGAACCCACCGTGCCCGGCGACGACCCCACGCTCCAACAACTCCTCATGCTTGCTGCCATTTTCTGCGGACCCGTCATGTTCTTCATCGGAGGCATGCTCTTCTGGATCGTCCCCGCCGAACACGTCAAAACCAGAACCGTAACAACCACCACCACCACC